ATCGGAGCGGTCGCTGCATGCCATGCGTGGCATGGTCGGCCAAGGGATGAGGCATCGAGGGCGAGGCCCTGAGGAGGCACGTGGAGTGGCACGTTATCCACTGAGCACCGCTCACGTCTCGAATCAGCCGCTGCATGCCACGAGTAGCATGGTCGGACGAGGCCGGAAGCCTTTTGGACAAGGCTCTTCAGATGCGCATGGAGTGGCACGTTGTTCACTGGACGAAGACCGCGAAACTAGCAGCTCTTTGTCGGATGTCGTTAATAACAGAAAACCTCCGGTGGAGTAGGTAGTGGGGGCACTGGACGACGCTGAGTGCGTGTTTTCACTGGTCGTGTTGCCGTGTTGCACGCCCTCAGGGCCAGGCAGAGACATCGGCTTGTTAAGCCCGTTCTGCATGCCCTGGGGCAAGTAGGAGAAATTCTCCATCTTCACAGAGGATCAATCGTAATGACCAAAGTGTAGATTGACTATAAGTGCTAACAAGTGCGGCGGGGCAACCGTAGCACTTAGCTTAGGTAACCGACCTCACGTTCTATACCAGAACCAGTATGAGTGTAGCGGATCGCAATCCGTTAACTCCAAGAGTAACCACAACTTTAACCCCAGGCAAATAAACTATTCCATTCGAAAATTGAAACTAAGGCAATGCCACCTATATTTTAATTTATAGGTTTTCCTGATTAAATAGTAAACCCGATCTGCAGCGGAGCTGCCGTAGCTTAGCGCTTGAGGAAGTGTATTTTAGGTCACCGACCTTTCGTTCTATACTTAGAACAAGAACGAGTTAGCGGATCGCAACCCGCTTACTCCACGAGTAATTATTGCCTTACTCAAGGCTAATTAGCTCTTCCGTTTAAAATCCAAAGCTGATTTTTATTTATTTTATATCCTAATTTCAAATTGTAGAATTTCCTAAATATACTAAATATGTATAGTAAAATCTATATACATGCATAACTACTGGCTACCTAGCCACATACCGTATTTTTGTTTGGGTGTAGTCACACCATGCACATCTCGTGTGACACACACCCCTGTTACCAGGGTACGTGTAACCCCGTTACACCCTCCCCCATTAAGATTGAGAACATTTACAGTTCCAATCGATTATTGCCTCAACGATGCTTGCGTGTCCGTTAGACACTGTGTTGGAACGAAACGACTTCCGTGCTCAAGGAGCCCTGTGTCAATGCCACCGAAGTCTCCAAGTATCGCTGGTTCCGACAGCGCTCACGGGCAGAGCTCAGCTTCATCTTCTGCACACGGTGCCATGTCGGATCGTGACTCCGCGGCATCGAGGGATGTAAATACTAGGCTAGATGAGCCCGAGTGTCGCGCTCCGCGCACGCTAACGGTGACGTGTGACCTCGTTGGGGATGTGGAGGTGGTCGATTACGAGTCTGATACTCTTTTTCCCGGATGGAATAACGAGGAAGGCTAGCCGCACCAGCGGCGTGAAACGAGCCCTGCTCGCGCCATGCGGACCCCATGTCCATTTCCTGACTTCTCGTCACCCTAGGAACGTGGTGTAATCACCAATGACCTTGATGGGGCACAGAAGCGGCAGCTGGAAGCTGCCCATAAGGCGGCTCTGATGCGCGCCCATCCACGGTCGGTCATTGACCCTCGTGTGAAAAATGCCTTCCGCCCAGCGGATCCCGCTGTGGAAGCGAAGGACGTGGTTACTCGATCGGTACGCCTCCACATCATGGAGCCTCCGGCTATTACGGAAGATGAGCTTGCGGAACGGAAAGCTCTTCGAGCTCGTTTCTTGGTTCCACAAGAATTCCCGTTGGACGCCTATTGCACTAGTCTAAGTGCTCAACGAGGTGGTTCTCGTGTACCCGCAATGCGGACAATACCTGTAGTGCTCGCCCCTG